CTTCAGCAGATTGTCCACAATCAGCGTCTGCTGTAATACCATCATCCCCAGGCCCCTCTTAAATTTCCTGCTTACTGGGCTTTTACTTTAACTGCATTACATACATCTTCCACTCCCTGTTCATCTGGTTCCTTTCAGCATAAACCAGGCTGAAAGATCTGACTGGAAGCACTTTGATGGCACTGTTCATTTGATGGTGAATTTAAAAAAAATAATATTGTCATTTATTGCTCCTGTTCAGTAGTACAGCTGTGATCTTGATTGATATCGAATGGCATTTTCATTCCAAGTCTTTGCGAGTGAGAGTATGTGCCAGGGAGTATTGATCTGGAGCTTAACTGTTGGTGTAGTATGATAGGCTGAAGAAGGGCGAGGATGACTAGATGGCCATGCTCGATGGAGCAAAGATATTAGCAGATATAGTGGTGATCAATGGCTTGATAATGTATGTTTACATCATTTGCGCTGTTCTGCGTTTTTTCCTCTCATGTTATCGAGCAGACAAGCCTTGTCTGTGGCATAAATAGAGCACCGTTTTCTGCCTAAGGTTAAATCCAGTTTGACTGGTTAGTGAATAATGCGGTGTGAGAACTGCGCTCAAATCTGCTCGGCTACTTTTAGCACATGTGCAACTCTACAGTATGCTGCACGTTTCTGCCTAGGACATTCCAACCCACCTGACATAAAAGCATGATGCCCCTTCGGCGTGCATCAGCCCCTGTCAATTTGTCCCCAACATATCTTTCACATTTTGTAATAAAAGTCATTTTACCACCTCTGTGTTTTGCAAGGGAGCCTGATAGTGTCACACAAAGACAGATGACTACCACTCTGGCCTGTGGGCCTGCAGCAATAACTTACACGGACCACATGTCTGTTTTCTAACCATGTGAGAAACTGCATGCGTGTTCTCCTTCGGCGTGCTTACATGCATTTTGAACCATCTGATCAGCTCTTGCTGGGATGGTGTGTGTATGATAGATGGGATGGTATTCATCACGTTTATCAAGATAAGAGTGAGAGGGTTTTGGTCCAGTAGAGTGGGGTGAGGCAAGTCTTTGATAAATGATATTTAGTCATTTAAAACCAATCTTTGTGTAAAAGCATAGATCAGCCAATTACTGTAAGCTATTTTTATGGTTGGAATGATAAATGTTGTCTGTGTGCGCTTGTGTGTGTTTGAATGGTTAAGTGTGTCTGTGCACCCATGTATTGAAATGTCTTATTGTCCAGGACCGGCTGCAGTTGATTACAGTTCAACGGTTCACAATAACCGGACAAATCAACCAGTTTTTTGTTTCACCATGTACACCTCCCTTCTTCATCCCCTCTCTCTTTCTCTCCGTCTTTCAAAGATTTATGTGGGGCACACAGACAAGAGTCTTTAATTTTACGCCTGGGTAGACCATATACACTATTGCTCCATATTTTTCGTGCTTATATTGAATCTGTTGAAGCCCAGAAGGAGAATTGTGGTTTTTAAAATGAACATATAGGCGACTCCACCCTTTGAAAAGAAGGCCTTGGCTCATTTGGATTGGCCATAAATCTGCACCAACAGGCAGCAGTACACACTCTGGTGTGTTATGATGCAATCTGTTGTCTAAGGCATAATTACAAAGGGTAATACATGAAAAACCATCATGAAAGCATACTGTAGAGTCATCCTAATTACATACAGCAGACTGATGAATAATGGGGATGACACGGGGTATTGATACAACCACTGCCTCTCATAATAGAAAGCACCATTGTTTTAGTGTGGGAAAATGGGCAGCGTCTATCATGTGAAATCTTTTTTTTTTTTCACAAAGACATTGAGCCCAGACGCTTTCAAAAAACTCATCTGTCCACTGTTCAGTCAGACTTAGGCCCCTGCTGCCCGAAACCCTTTTGGCCAGTACTCCTCCTCAGCTCATCTCTGCCCCCCCTTCTTTATTTCAACACAATCTGGCATCTTTCTCCTCATATATACTCAGATTACATTAAATCCAACACTCCTCAGAAGGGCTGCTGCTACTGGTTGCTGTAAAATGTACATTTGCAGGGGCAAACCGCAAATGATGCAGTTGACCTATGTAGATAGAAATGGAGCTATCTGTTGAGATTATTGCAGACATTATTCATCAGTTGATGTGGTTTACAAAATGGTCAACAGCAGCAGCAACAAAAAAGACATTTAGAGAAAATTATGTCTTGCTGGTGTATTTTTGACATTAGATGTTCAGTGACAGAGTTATTCTATCGTTTTATTATCTGCACATTGCAACTGGTTAATGCTTGGCAACTACAATATGTGCTTAAAATGAGTCAAGTCAATTCATTTACATACATATTTAAAAACAAGTGCTGACCAAACTAAAATTTAAAGTAATAAACTACTTAAACAACACAGGTAAAAGTAAATATCAAATTTAAATATCAAAATAACGCCTGACTTTTTATTCTGTTTTTGAAGGTGGGCTTAAAAAACAAAAGGATCTTTAAAATGTCCAGTGCTACTGCAAAGGCCCGATCTCCTCTATACTTTAATCTGGAACCCTGGATGAGCAGGAGTCTCTGGTCATCAGAACTCAAGGATCTTGTGGGAACGTGCAAATTTTAAAGATCAGAGAGATAAGGAGATGCTAACCCATAAAACTAACTATAAAATATTTAAGTCAATTCCAAATGTAACCGGGAGCCAATGCAGAGAAACCTCTGTAGACGAAATGTGGTCTCGCTTGCATGAGGTTGTTAGCAGCCGAGCAGTAGTGTTTTGGAGCAGTATCAGGTGAGAAAGCAAAGACTTGCAATAGTCAAGGCTGGACGAAATAAAGGCATGAATCACCTTTTTCAAACTTGGTGAAAGAAAGTAAAGGCTTGACCTTCGCAAAGACCCTCAGCTGAAAGAAGCTAGCTCTGACAACTGCATTTATTATGTAAAGATTGTGGTTATGGTTAAAAGCTTACCTAAAATGAATTACAAGTCATTAACAAGCCATTAACTCCAAGCTCCCTCAGTAAAGTTGGATGTACTACTCGCCCATCAGCCACCCCAGACATTATATCCCTGCCTTCCACCTGAAAAGGGAACACTATTTGCTGCGTTGGCACTGGATGTGAACACTGGACATAGATTGGAAAGTCTGCAATTTTAAATATGAATGTGCTTCCAATGAATACTGGGCTGATGTGTAGCCAAAGTATAACAAAAGATTTGTTCTATCCAGTTGCAGCTTTTCTAGGATGTTCCCTGGAAAGTTGTTGTTCCGTGCCCACTGACCGCTGAAAAGAGAACAAAATTAGGATTTAATTAAGAATTCCCTTTTCAGGGATGGAACAAAGCGGTGGTGCACTACTGATGTATGCATGGACTTTTGCAATGGCTGCATCTTTAATCTTCTCTTTCCTCTTTTCCGCTTGTTCGCGTAAATGAGTCCTAATGAAAAATCTCATTCCCTGCCTACTTTTACAAACCTGATCCTTCAACACCTCTTCTCCTCTGCTTCGAAACCCGTTTCTCTTCCGCCGTTCTTCCTCTGTTCCTCATTCAGTGATCCCATTGTTGACCAGTTCCGTGTGAATAATGTATACTGTGTACTGAGAGAAACACGCGAGACATGAATGAAGGTGCTGCATAGGTGGAGGAGCTTGACTTATTTCCTCACTAATTCTCTGCTGCCTCTTTCAGTTCCCTTGTATTGCGGTGCGTGCACACATAACACAGAACATTGGGGTCTTTTGCATGCATACACACAAATACATACAAACACATGCATGTACACAAACGCGGAATAGGGAATCCGTCTTTTGTTGCAGTCTCTGCCCACCCAACCATAGAGATATTGCTCACGGCCTCCTGTACTAGCTAATAGACCCAATTACTGCACAGCCTTGCCTGAGAGCTCCGCAGAGGTCCAGGCTCTGACACTGTATGGATGTGTGTGCGCTTATGTGTATTACACTTTTTTTTATGTGCCTGTGAAAATCTTGCACACAGACAAAGACTCTCCAAGAGAAAATTCAAAGCCTAACAGACATACGGTACTTCCTCAGCTTCATCTGCGTTCCCCAAAAAATACATTCACGTACACACAACCTGCATTTTGCATGTCAACAGGTGCATGCACAAACCCACATGCACTGTCAGTTACTGTGAACATATTCATAAAAAAACACACACAACACACTGAGATTGACCTGAGACGTGGCTGCAGAGTTTATCCTGAAAGAAGTTATAGAAAAAGAAGGATGTTGGTGAAAAGACAGAGGAAGAGAGATAGAAAAGGGAAACAGAGAGGGCATTTCCATAAAAGAGAATCGAAAAAGAAAGCCAGTGAGATAGAGAGGGAGGGAAATATTGAGAAAAAAGCCCACAGTGATGGAAAATGAAGGAAGATGCAGAGGGAGATAGGAATAGATAGGGGAAGAGGACAAGACACAAATAGTAGAAGATATGAGACTTGCTAACTGTGAATAACTGCCACTCTGCATTCTAGAAACAGAGCTAACAATTTCCCTTTCTGAAAAGTGTCTCTGGCATTTGGCAGTGAAATGCCACCCATATAAACCAGTTATCATGGCATGAGAGAGCTTTTTAGCTGTAAACTGCCAGCGAGCGCAGAGATAGACCATTATCGACTTTGATACCCTGACACTTAGGAGGTCATTACGAGGCAGAGCACACACACACAAACACACACATGCACACTCATGTACACGTGCGCGTGTGCACACTGACACACAAACACTAAACAAGCAATCACAAGCAAAAGTGGCTGGTGAACTGTTTGGTTCTCCTGTTTTGAGTGGGTTATGGCTATTCACCCAATCTGGAGGGGGGCCATTATTCACATTGCACCCCACATTCACTACATATTATAGTTATCTGTTTTCTATTGTGAAAAATGACACAGACCTCAATTCACTGAGCTCGAGTAACCTCCACACTTTTCCCCTTCTCATTTTCTCTGTCTCTCTGTCCCTCTCTCTCCTTCTTCTCTCTCTTGTCTCTCCAGGATGAGGGCATCTAGCTGCCACTGAGATGTGATTCTCTGCGGTTTTTATTTCACTTTGACAAAGCAAAGCACTCGATAACAGGTAAGAACGTGTGTGGTCATGTTTGTCGTGCGTGCCGACTGGAATACACACCTTAAAATAATTTAAAACATATTTAACCAGAGGTGTTGACTCAGAATGCATTCTTATTTACAGCAGGCTTATTTAGGCCTGGAGGGATAGTCACGCAAATACACACACGCACCTGGTGTGTTGTTTTTGCCGACACTACAGTATGCATTATGCTTTTTTAGAACCCAAATATGACCCAGTGTTCTCCCTGGAGATCTTGGGGTCCATCTGTGCCAGGAAGTGCTCTAATTGGCCCGACAAATGTTGTCCTCTGAAAGTGCTAATCCAATCAGATATGACCGAGCTTCAAAAAAGAGCACGGCACAACACGCAATGTGCAGTGAATACGACAGGATGTGAAAACAGAAACGACTAGAATGGAATTGATAGTGTGAAGCCAGCGCACACTGTGAGCTTGAAATAATTGCAATCAGCCTGCTGTTCATTGAAGGCATCAGCAGGAGTTAAACCACAAACCCAGACCTTCATCTGCCCATGAAGCCACTCACCACAACTTATTTACAGTGTATTTACAAGCTGAGCAGGACCTGTAAAATGTCGAATTTACGAGCTCCCTTTTAATTAGAAATACTGTCTCCTAGAGTTGGGCTGATGAATTGCACATTCAATTTATTGGCAATAGAGGAGGGGTGCAGTTCCTGGGTATTGACAGCTTTTCAGTCTCCTGGTTGACATCAGTTTTTTCACTAAGAGAAAAAATATATTGCATCTTTGCTGTACAAAAAACCCTGAGGTCATGTTTTCCTGTGGGATCCTATTCCTTATTGATTGAGTTTGAGGGGAGTAAGGCAGATGAGCATGCTCACTATCTCCTCCCTTCTGTATGTCTTGGCAGTTTGCTATGTAGTTGGTTACATTTTTAATGGCCAAGGTCATTTAACCCTTTGCCTACCAAGTGAAAAAACACAACGTAGATTTCTTCATCAGAACATTTCAGTCGTGTGAATCAGAAGGCTAGCTTAGAGGTTCTGTCATAGTTGATAGTTAAGGTCTAAATTCAGCATTGACCATATTATAACTTAAAAAAAGTTTTAATGATATAACTTTACTGTGTGCATATGTGTGTGTGTGTGTGTGTGTGTGTGTGTGTGCGCGCGCAAATATTGTTAGGTGTGTATGTGGCATACAGGAATTTGTGTGCCCATTTTTATGCTCTTCCTGTCCAGTGTGTCTCACCCTGCATGCTTTCCTTCCTTGACTCTCATATGACTCTGACTGCTTGCTTTGAAATCTAATTTTGTGATATCAAGGCCACATTTTGTCTTTATTTCACCGAAACAATGAGTAAAAAAAAAAGAACAACAGGAAATGGGATATATCATTCTTCGTATGGGGGATGTGGTTTTTTTTCTCTCTCTGTGTGAAACAGGTGTTTCCCGCTCCACATGAACAAACACGCAACCTTCATTTACCACATTACTAATGAGAGCGAAGCTGGAAATACAATCCGTGTAGGTTTCGTCGGCTAAACAATGATTATATGTAAAATGAGTCACATGGAAGTACAGTGCACACCTACAGTATGCACAGATAGATAAGCAAATGAATACTCACTTGGAAATGGTGCATTTATACACAATGCACTCCCTCATACCAGAGTTAACAAGTATTGAAAACCAGGTGTAAAACTGAATTCAGGACAGAGGACCATCTTAACAAGCTTACGGACCCTGAAAACTAAAACACAACAAAGAGAGCAGGTTATTTTCAAGAAATGTTTTGGAGGTTTAAATATTTTACTTTCATAAAATATTAAGATTATTATAGCAGAACATCAGAATAATTAAAATGCCAGCTGTAGTCACTCTTGCACAAATTGTACCTGGTCACACACATTGTGTAAATGTGACACACACTCACACACTCACTCCCTTGTTGCCACCCCCCATGAATACAGGCTTATTGTCTTATAATGTGACCTTTCCCTTGTGTTGAGAGGCCTTTGTCCTGAGACAAAAGAGACCATATTGTGAACCATGCCAGTCAATGCCGTCCACACAGCTGCCGTAGAAAGGCTGCAGACTGTCCAGGGTCCAAGTTGAAGGCTATGAGGCAGGCACTTGTGACTTGTGTGTGTGTGTGTGTGTGTTGTCTGCGCTTGTGTATTTTTGTCTGCACTGTTTGTGTCTGTAAGATGGAAGTCTGTTTTCCAGAATCAGCAGATGGACCTGTGCAATTAGACTCAGTCTTCTTCTGTGTACAAATGTACACATGCACACAAACAGACACATGCAAACCCACACATCCACTTGCAGACACACGGAAAACACACCCAGGGCTGGGTATGAAGCAGATGTCTCTGAAACAGACCTGACAGATACTGTAATGGAGGAGGAATGTGAGGAATGAGAATACAGTGCTATCTATCCATCAGGGCTTGGCGATAAATCAGTGCTAATAATTATTGCATTTTATCAAGATAATGTGAAAAGATTTGGCTGCTGTTCAAGTGAATTATTATTATGAACAAGTATTAATTAAGATCTACTATAATTACATATAACATAATTTTTTGTTTTGCACATATACAATGTTTTCATTTTATGTAATGATCACAGTTGTGTTGTTTTTGTGATCAAAAACTGCTTCACATATGAAAGGAAACAATTCCTTGCAGAAAAAAGACACACTTTTAACATGTATTTTTGCGCTGTGGGGAAATATAACGGATATTGTCCTCTATTTCCTGATATTTTATAGGCAACGTGAATAATGGAGAACATTCTTTGCAGATAAATTGATGATGTAACAATGATTACTTGCAGTTCCTTCGATCACATCCATCGTCAACAAAAATAGGGACAAAACTGTGACCATCTTACTATCTCAGCACACCATCTCTACATTTAGCCTCACCAGTCATGTATTGACCTGCAGTAACAGATAGGCTCAGAGGAAATGAGCTTGTGACTGAAAGGTCATGGTTTAAAATCTGAGTACTACAGTGGCTGTGAAAATCCTGGCAGTTTAAATCCCTCAACAACTACCATCAGGGCTGCGACCTCTGGGCACTTAACCTTTAACTGTTCCAATGGAGCAGCTCTGTGTCCAATAGTGCAAGACTGTGTGGCTGCGCTGCACAGCTCCCAGGTGTTACTGTGTTAATGTGTGAATGTGGTCCGGCCTTCTTCCCTCTCAGCTACTCCCCCTCAGCCATTCATGCAAACACGAACGTGTTCTGTCTAAGTCAGTGAGCCAGGATAAATAAAGCCGATGACTTGATAGCTTACAAATGTGTGGCATTTTCAATCATTCTCCCAAGTTTGATTGTTTCATTTTCATCCTTAAGTTGCTGCAGTGCACAACTGACAGTCGGGATGAATTTTGGTCATACGATTGTTGCTTTCTCCACATCCTGTTGACTGTGCTAAAGATACCAGTCTTTCCCTTATGCACTCTTTTTTTTCCCCCTGCTAAGATCAAGGCAGGGCACCAGGGGAGCACACACACACACACACACACACACACACACACACACACACACACACACCTAATCAACCACAGATTCAGTCTGACATAACCGCACAAACAAAGACCCGCACGTACACCACTTACAAGCACAAATGCACTGCCACCTGAGTGCAACAGTACAACCCCCAACACGCCCCTGTGTAACAGGCGCACATGCACACACGGACACACACCTGACGATGGGGAATAGCCCACAGAGATGCTCTTTGTCAACAACTTGGAAAAAGCAGCTATTTAAGGCTCCTGTATTCCAGGAAGGATAAGTCATCTTATTTGTCTCCAATGAGTCTGTGTGAAACAAAACAAGTTATGGCACCGACTAACACACTTTCCTCCCCGCTGCGTCGTCTCCTATTTGTGGGGTTCTGCTTATGAACCGGTGCTAATTGTGTAAAGTAGAGTATATTGTGGATGTAGATTTCCAGCGGGCTTGGTGTGATGATGAGCAGATGCACTCACAGATGTTTTCCCTCCATGTGTCTGTTTACCAGTTCAATTATCCCTATCGTATACTGTAGAGATTTGTTGTTCTGTTTGGGCGCCTCAGTATGGATTCCAATACTAGTTAGTAAGGTATCACAGGCTTGTGTTAACTCTGTTCTGGCTGGCAAAATCGAATTTGTTTGTTACATATGGTTGCATAAAAGCGTTAAAAAAAACCCCAAACATCAAAAATATCAGATTTATTTTGCTCCGTTGCAGTATAAAGCATTTAGAAAAGATGCCTTGGTCAAAGATTATAATCTCACTGTTGTGGTTAACACTGTGAAAGTATATGTTTTGCTGTGCCAGTGTTTATAGAAGGCATTTGGGTTTAGATTTTCACATTTCAAATAATTGAGTCTCTCCAACCCATTAGAGGATTAAATGGTGTAAATGTGCTCTCTGTGTGCGTGTTGAAATATTCTAAGGAAAGATGCAGACCCCACAGGCATCCATATGTAATCCTCACGTTCGCTTCATGTTTTAGGAACTTAAATCTACCCAGAATTACTCCGGTTCTGAAAGGGAATCAATGTTCAAGACCTCTAGCTACAACCTGAATATGAGATCTGAGCAGCACCAGATGAATTTTTGATCAAATATTTCTCACTGGCACAATTAAGCATTGATGAAACAAGGAGTGAACATAGTTTTGCACACCCTGGATTTCTTTTATTTGGATTTCCTAACTCTGTAAAAATAAACTAGTCTCTCACTATTTCTGTTCTCACTGAAAAATAAAACATTGTACATGTAATGTTAGAGCTCTTTTACAGCTCACTTTAAGGTCGTTGAATTGTGCCTTGCCAATATAACATAGATATACAGTGTATGTTTCCCAATAAAGAAAGATCGAAACAATAACAACGTATAATGTATACGCAGAAGGGCGTATGATATGTATCTGAGCATCACATACAAGAAATGCTAAACATTTCCTCCAAGCATTGTGATCCACCTGCTTGCTCAGTTGAATTATTGTATTTTCAATGCAT